TGTAAATGATTTTAGTTATTAATACCGTTGGGCACCTCGTACCTACCTATTTTGTTCAGAATAAAATTGTATGTTTAGAAATTTTATGTCTACGATACAACGACAGTACGACACTAGTGAGTCCTTTTACAACTAAAGACGACGAATATATTATTAAACTGACTATTTTCACGCCAAAGTGGAAATTCTAATCAAAATGTGACAAATATATAGCCAGCCAACATACTATATAGGTACCATCATTTGTTAATCTACACACATTATTTATTGTTTATAAAATGATGGAATAACAATCAAACTAAAATATATTTTTTCAATATATTAATCTGTTTCTCAGAAGATGATTTCGAAAAACAAAAGCACCTAACCTAAAAGGCACATAATTTCTACATGGTTCTTTTCTACATTTTTATTTTTTTATTTTTGTAAATTTTAAATTGCTTATTCCGTAATCAATATATTTTCCACATATATACGTTTTCACCGGAGACAACGTGATAATAAATATTTATAATATTCATCACACTGCAGCATGGATTTGTGTATAAATCTGAATAAAATATTCCACGAAAAAAAAAATAAAACAATGTTTTAATTAAAACTATAGTTGGTACCAGCCTTTAGGGGTTTTAATCTCTATCACTGTGCCGGGAAACGGCATAGCCGAAGGTTTGTTTTTTTAGTTTAAAGTTTTACAAATTCCAGAAATTAAGTTTAATTTGTTTAAATAAATAAGCCCCCCAATCAGCTTTTACGAGAAAAGGGAACTGGTCGAAGAGATAATTGTATTACAAAAGAAAACTCTTCGTTTTTATTCCGTTAAAATTATAATAAAATTTCCAAATACAAAACCAACCCTCCGTTCAGCGATTCTAAGAAGAGGATATACTACAGACATGGAATAGGTATAAATTAAATTTATTGATCTTTGCATATTATAATTAATAATAAAAATATAAAAACAAAAAAAAAGAATGCATGGAATTCATCGTGGTTCAAAAAATAACATTATAATGTTCCATTATACAGCCATCATATACATAATAATATATAGATATATGTAATTTAATAACTATTGTGTTTCATATTTAATAAAAATGAGATTTTAGAAATCGAAAAATTAAAAATTACTGGGTATTAACGTTTGAAATTGACCAGCTGAGTCCAATATACGTAGGTTGTAATCTACGTTCTAACAATTATTTTTTTCATCAGGACTTAGAAGACCAGCTTCGTGATTTATACAGGTATTATATTTTGCAATTACGATTATTATTTTTTATGCCTGCATAATATAGAATAATAAGTAAGAATTCAATTTGAATATGAAACATTATAATGTAAAAATGACTATATTTTTTATAAAAACGGTAGTAAAATTAAGTATATATAGGTAAGTATTAAGTATCTACTGGGAAAAGTTATTTTATATTTATCATAAAAATATATTATAGGCACCATAAGTGCCTGTATACAATATCTATTTATTATTGTATAATATTATTATACATTAGTTTTTGGCAAAATATATGAAAATTAATGTCGGCAGATAACAATATGAAAATAAATGTAAACGCCATTTGTATTTTGTTGGCAGCATAATTTGTCAAATATACATACCTTTAGGTCATTACAGCCTAGTAATAAATGTTCTGTTTCCCACGAACATAAATATAAAACAATAGGCTATGTATTATTATTATTGGATTGGCCTACATTGTGGTATTGCAAAATACTTAACATAATAACAATGATAAAAAAAAATACTTGGGCTACCGGAGATTTATAAAATAAATTATTTATGAATTTTGCTGATGGTTGTGTTTATAATAAATTTAGGCGTTATTTGCAATCCGAACGGAAGTTTACTTATTCTTAGGCATTAATTATTTACGAAAAACACAAAACCGATTCGTTTAGGTCAGTACAAAACAGCTCGATATACAGACGTCTGTCGTATTCCGTTTACAACATAAGGCACATATTATATATTTCCTCTTTCTCTCTCACTTTGTCTCTCTCTCTCTCTCTCTCTCTCTCTCTTTATCTCACTCACACACACAATTCTCTATTATTTTTCTTTCATCGTAAAAATAAATAAAATGAGAAAACTCAATAATTGATGATTTGAAAGAATGGATCGTTATCAAAAAGTTCATTGCATATTATTATGAAGTATGAAAACAAATACGAGTAATTGCCTTTAATATTAGAACGATTATCAAATAATTGTCACCACTGGTATTCAAATGAAAATTCGATAATTACATAGAACTAGGTTTATAACATTATTGTTGATATTTTTTTATCTCGGAAAAGATGTTATAGAGGCTCAAAAATTACATATTCATATCCGGCTATGAATATTCATTTTTTAGTAAAGTTCGGGCAATGCCGACTTTCGCCAAATGATAGTAAAAATTATAATAAAAATGGAATAAAAATGGAATAAAACTTTGTATAGTGATTCTGAGCATTAAATATATATAGTAAAAATAATAAGCGTTTTTGTCTTCTTCGAAGTGATTTCTGGAAAATATAGTTACTGTTTATACTCTGTATTCACCTCTTTCCGCAGCAGTTTTACCTCTTTTATTTATTCAGATCTAAAAATACTAGAAAAAAGTTTAGCATGGAATTTTAGAAGAAAAAAAATATTGATTACCTTTTAAAAAATATATCKTTTGATCCATCCTAAAATTACTAACCTAATTAGAATATGTATAGCATCCAGTTACGTGTTAGTTTACGTGTATTTAATATCCAAACATACTTCACAGACGATTAAAGTCAAGTATGTACATTCATTCAGAGTTAAATACATTTCATGATGAAAAAAAAACGTGGCATCAAAAACACGAAGCTTACAACCGCAAATTGTAGGTCAGGGGTAAACATGTCGGGAAAGGGGATACTATTTTCAAACTTCTAAAGATCCTTAAAGCTTTTTCTACGCAATTCGTTTTATATCACCTTGTTAAGGTGTTTTTACAGCCAGCAGCCTTTTTAAATTCACTAATTTAAATTTAACGTTTAAAAGTGAAATCACAAGTATTTTATACAACAATAAAAAATTAAATAGTTTAAAAGGCTTAATTTTATTTTTTTTTACAACCAATATGTCCCATAAAATTTTGTTTAATATAATAAACATAAATATAGTTTAACAAGTCATTAAGATTTAAAATTCACTCGGAAAAATGATTTTTTACCTTTAACACATTATCYTTCAGGTCGGTTTAAATAACCATCCAGCGAGCATACCTATACACCTATTAAATAATTYAATAAAACACATCACACACGACAAGTGTATTATTCAACRAAAAGTTTAAACGCTTCATGAACACATTCCCGAACCACTTAACGTAAAATAGAATAGCAATGATTTTTTGGAAAGCTGACTTTATTAGGTAGGTATATGCTTATCTTTAATTATTTCAATATATACAGTGTATATAGTAGGTATATGTAGTAACTGCATATGGGTATTTTGATTATACTAAAATAAATATTTTGAAATCTATTAAATGAACCCTCAACAAGTTACTAAGTTAGAAAATAAAACGTACCTCTTGAGATGATAATAGAATGTATAAAAAAAACTGAACAATTTGACAATTAATATGAACTTCATTTTCCTCCTGCCTACAGACTGTGAAAAAACAAACATATTGCACGGATACTTAAGAAATAAAAATAGAAACTTTTAATATCGGCTGCGTGCTTAAGCCCGAAGATCGTTAATGGATATTAATAACGTCACGAGACTTACTGGATGTATACAATACAGTTAGAAAAATGTCGATATTTTATTTGTTTTATTGCAAGCTTAAGAAGCAAAAGCCAAAAGTATAGAAAACGACAAAAGAAAACCTCCAATATGCAATACATAATATGATAATGAGTAATTTGCATAATATCTAAGTGATATATTGGTACCTATCTATTATATAATATTATATGTTCTAGAACCTGAGATATCGCTAATAACATATAATAATTCAACGAATTTGTTATTTTATCGATATAATTTAGCCAATAATTTAATTGATAAAAAATTAAAATAAATAGGTACTATATTGATAAATTATAAATAATTACTGAATTTTATCTCGTAAAGATGTATACCTTTATCGTGTGATATTTTTATACTTTTATATTATTTTATTTTATACCTACGTTAATTTTAAAATAAATATATATTTTTTTCATATTGTTATTTATAGTGATAAAAGGAAGAAAATGCGGAAGAAGAACACGCGCACGCATACAATTTAAATATAAAAAGAAGGCGGAGGGAAAAAATTAACATTGCGGGACGGGATGGGGGCTCGGGTGAAAGCTTCGAAAAGTTGTGTGAACGAAATTACGGTGTCGGGGGGAGGCGTCGGTGGTGGCGAGCGGTGACGTCACTACTATATACACGGAGGCGCATTCTGCCATTGTTATTGTTATATTAATAATAATAATAAATAGGGTTAACGGGCGGGCGGGCGTGCGGCGGGCGGTGGTTCAGGCAATAAATTCAACTTGCCTCATTTAACTACGACTAGCGAGTGAGGGGGAGTGTGAGAGGCAGGCAGACGGCGTGAAAGGGAGGGAAGGAGGGAGAAGAGAGAACGAGAGAGAGAGAGAGAGAGTGAGAGAGATGAAAATATATATATAATATACATATTTTATTTATATATATAAACAGTGAGAATGAGGGGAAGAGGAGAGTATGCTCTTCAATCAATAACTCCTTTTAAACGTGTTATTACATATTACACACATACAAACACACACACACTCACTCACACTGTGTGGTCCGTTATTTATACCATAAAATATAATATACATTACACATAATATATATATATGACTTAAAATAGATGTTGTCCCGGACGGGAGAGAAATGGGTAAAAAAACCTTCGGAATAAAATATTAATAAATAATAATAAATGGTAAAATATAATGCTAAACGAAACGATTGTATTATTCAGAAGAAGATAATAATATTAAATAATAAATCTGGTGGAAAAATAACTCACTCTTTCTTCCTCACGTATCATCTCCGCGATGCCTGGCTTTATTTCCATATCGTCGGCCACGCTACTCGGCGGTGGTATCGACGACGACGATGACGACGAAGACGAAGCGGACGAGGCGGACGGCGGCATGGCTTGCGGTGCCGGTGGCTGTTGTGACGACTGCTGCTGCTGCTGTTGTTGTTGATGTTGCTGCTGTTGTTGCTGTTGCTGTTGCTGCTGCTGATGTTGTTGTTGCTGTTGTTGCTGTTGCTGTTGCTGCTGCTGCTGCTGCTGCTGCTGTTGTTGTTGTTGCTGCTGCTGCTGCTGCTGCTGGAGGTGGTGCTGGTGCACGTGCGACTGCACCTGCTGCTGATGATGGGGGGCCGGAGGAGGCGGCATGTGGTGCAAGTTGAGCGGCGTGTCCACGGCCGACGATCCCAAGTCGGACATGACCGATTCTGGGCTGGCCGCTGGTGGCGACAGTCTGTGCCGCTTGCGGGCCGGTTGTTTGGGAGATTCGGGTGCTAGAGTCGTGGGCGTCACCACTGTGGCCGCGGCCTGTGGTTCACATCCACCGCCACCGGTGAGTTGTTCGTTGCTGACGTCGGCCAGACCGCGGACTTTCAGCGTCTCGGCCACGCGCAACAGCGGCCCAATCTGTTCCTGGTAAACGTTTATCTCGCCCTTGTACATAAAATCGACGACGGCCCTGAGCTCTGGCCACTGGACGTCTTTCAGTATGACGATCGGGTGCTTACACTTGTTCTCGGCCAGCATGCTCTGAAAGTACGGGCTACATGCGGACAGCACGATCTTGTGCGCCTTGAGCGTGTGACCGTCACAGGCGATCGTCACGTCCACGAAAGTGCCGTTCTGCAGCAGTTGGTCGAACACGTTGGTTAGATTACTCTGGTAGTTGTTCCACCGCAAGCAGAACTGCTGGTTGCCGGAACCGCCGGTCGCGCCGCAAGTCTTCTCGGCCGCCGCCGACGACACGTCTTTGGAGCCGTTGCTTGGTTGCATGGTGCCAGAGGCGTTGAAAAGTTGCTGCTCTGCAGTGCGTATACGAGACTACTATTCGGACGGACTGTCGAGGAAAAAAAATTTCGGCGCGAAATTGATAAAAATCGCGAGCTTACAGATAACGCCGGTTGCGGTTGGGAAAAAAAAAAATAATATTCAAATAACAACACGTTCTATCACTTCTGAGCACACGTTTTTTTTTCAACGCGAAAACGGCAGACGGAAGCGCGCGCGCGTGACGGACGAGAGCACCGGTCGCGGCGGAACTGACTGTAGTCGCGTCGGGTGCCGCGTTTGGCAGGCTGGTAGGCGGGCGGCTGGCTGTTTAGCGGCGGCGGTGGCGCGCGCTGACGAAAACGCCGGCCGCGGCGGGTGCCCGTGCCACGGCCACAGTGTGACCAGAGGCCACCGAACGAAATTATGGTATCTGTGATGTGTTCTGACTTCTTTACACGACGTACCGCATAAAAATAAATTCTAAAAAACACAGTCCGCATTCTGCAGCTCCGTTATTAATATTCATTTTTAGTTCATTTTTATTTATCGCAACACGCCTTGACTTGGTTCTACAATTACCCTCCACCGGGTTGGTTTTACGATAAAATCGTTGATTGTTGTATACGAATCAAACAATAAGTGCATATAAATAACTAACTAAAGGTGTTGCTATATAGGCACAAGGACAAAACGGTATTACTATATTATTTAAATGAAAAAAAAAATGTTGTTTACCTGTGTAGATATTATGTACTGTAGGTATACATTTTTTCTAACTACGAGCTTCGTATAAGTACCTACATGTCATATAAATATTTCATAACAAATAATATTTTTTTTTTAAGATAACATTTGTTACTTGCGACATCATACACGATAATTTTTGTTATGTAGATATAATATACGATACACCTCTCAGGAATCAAGAAATTGTTCATTTATTTGTTTAAAAAAATATATCCGTTATTTCAAAACCACAAATTCAATTACCTGCGCCGACGGGCACATTAAAAATAATTTTTCTACTTAAACAAATGATTAAAAAAATTAAACTCAACTTATTTTTATTAATTAATAACGGAAAGTTAAAACAAACAAAAATTATATGTTATATAAAAACAAAATATTCCTATAATATAATTATTCTATTGTGCATGGGTATATTCATTCATTATTGATTTATTAATTTAAATTAAACACATTTAAAATAAAATGTTATAGCCTACTCAAAGTTTTTTTTTTTTTTTGAAACGGGTTCTATCGAAATATTATACAAAGCAAAGAGTTCCAGGAATTTGGCAGGATTATATTTTAATAGGATTTATTTGGAATGAGAATTATTAGTTGTAAAATATAACACTAATTATTAATATATTATAGTAGCTATAATTCATAGCTTATTCAAATGTAAAATCATATTCCTACAAATATCTACATAAAATATAAATTTTAAGATATTAAACTTTTGAAGAAAATGAATATAAATAATTTAAAGACCAAATATGTCAACATTTCATTAAAATTTGTTTTATTGAGTAAACGAAAATATTTGTTTGGAGTTAATCAAAGTTTTAATATTGAATAAAACGCAAACCATAGACATCGTATTTTCAATATACAATTTTTACAAGAGTGTGTAGTTATAAGAATTATGTAGGTACTATGACTACTATGCGAGGTATTATGCTATATACAATATACTATTAATTTATAATATTTAACTAATTTTTAAAGAAAATGTTGAAATTTTTTTGGTTTKTAAATAAATTATTCATCTGATACACATAGTTTTTTGTGAAGTATTTTTAATTTTCTGATTAATGTTTAGGTATAGGTAATATCTACATAATAAATATATTATTAAATATCATTATATATTAAAACTACAAATTTCTTTGTTTTTATTACATTAATACGCATATTATACTTAGATATATTTCTGTATATCTATAGGTACATTTATTATATAAAGAGGAGTTGTTATTTGACGTTGTTGAGGGTAGTCTCTGGAATTACTGAACCTATTTCGAAAAATTTTTGACCAATAGCAAGCCACATTCTTTATGAGTGTCATAGTCTATATTAGATTCTGAACGAAGTGATGAATGTATTGATTTTACAATGATGTGTGTTTTTTTTTTGTGTCTGTGTACAGCATAACTAGTCGAAATAATGCTTCGATTTCAAACTTTGGGAGTAGTTTCCGATGTAAAATTAAAGATCCTTGGTGCATTATAAARGTCAAAAGTAAACATTTTCCAACAGTTTTCAAAAAAATCGAGAAAAACAAAAAAAAAAATGACAGAAAAACGGGAATTTTTACGCAAAATCAGTTTTCGACCAAATCGATTTTTTTACATGGTTGTAATTCAAAAACTAATCACTGTAAATACTTGTGAAATTTTCACCAAATGTTTATGTTAGTGTTATCTATATACAGTTTAATTTTCAAAAATTTTGACTTTTTTTGAGTTATTTATAGACCACTGAAATTTTTGAAAAAAATGTTGGACGACCAAAAAAACTTGAAAATTTAATACAAGGTTCCTTATGAGTTGWTCTTATTGTAGCTAAAAAAAATTAAAAATCGTAAGTCACAWTTTTTTTTWATAAGSGTTTAYAGTTCAAAATTTTACGTAATCTGTCGAAAACGCGAAAATTTGCAAGTAATTTTGAAGTTGAAAAATCATAAAACTTTTTGTGTTTATAACTAAGGATTAAAAATACAACACTAAGTTTTCCATAAGTTTTCCTTCAAGTAGCTATAGAGAAAACTCTAAACATCATTATAGGAAAAATTTTAAGTGCGTTTGGATAAAACATCTTTTTTTTTATATAAGATTGAACAATTTTGTTTTTCTTAAAAAATTAATTAAATCTAGGTTTTTATCATGAATAGGTCCGAGTGTTGAGTCGAGGTTGAATGATATTTTATGTTCGGCGYGTTCTTGGTTGTAGATTAGGCAGTCGGTTATTATATGTTTTACTGTTAATGCAGTACCACAGGTTTGACAAATAGGGGGATCTTCTTTTGCCATAAGGAAACCATGGGTGATTCTGGTGTGTCCTATGCGAAGTCGGTTAAGGACCGTCTCCTCTTTCCAGGTGAGTTTTGGGTTCGACCACCGGCGGATGTCTCTTTATTTTCGTTTAATTTAGTGTTTTGTAAGTTCCAGAGTCTTTGCCATTTATTTATAGTATATTCGTTTATGAATTTTTTTGAGTSAGCATATGAMATTTGGTTWATTAGCAAAGTTTCGTTGTTGTTAATGGCTAAAGAGGCTTGTTCATCGGCTAATTTATTGCCTCTTATTCCTGAGTGGCCAGGTATCCACATGATGGTGATTTCTTTACCCAAAATGGAAGCTTTGTTGAGATTGTTCTGGATTTTAGTTGCAATGTCGCAGGGGTTGAATTGGGTTTGTAAGCTTTTTATCAAACTTAGCGAATCGCTGAGGATGATGAATTTGGAGTGGGCTTCTTGGATCAAATATTAGGTAGTTTGTGCAATATTTTTTTATTAGGAAATATTATCGAAAATCCTACTCCTTCATTGGTTTTTGAGCCATCGGTGTATACTTCCTGGAAGTCTTTGTAGTTATCTATAATGCTTTTAAAGAAGTTTTTGAAAATATAGGGAGAGGTTTGATGTTTGGGCAGATAACTGAGTTCAGTATTGATTGCGTATGTGTTGGCTCACGGAAGTTGGAAGTTTTTTTCTTTGGTTATGATTTGCGAAATGTCTAAGTTGCAGTCTCTCGTCTCTTTTATGAAGAGGGGGAGGCTATATTTATCTTTATAAGTTTCGCTTAATTTTTTTATTGCAAATTTGAKATTTTTTATAGAAATAATAATAATATTAAATATATTTTGTATATATTATATGGTTGCTATTGGTTATACAATTTAGTATGGAAGAATAAGAAATTAGCAATTTGTTATTAGTTATTAGTTATCAATTTTAAAAATTGTTTCACCTTTACAAAGCTAAAAATGCGATAAAATATTATGATTGAATATACTTTTAATCCGGTATTTTAAATGACTGTGTTGAAAGCCTTTTATGGAGATTAAGATAGGGTAAATGCACAGGAAGTTTTGATCATGACTAGCCTGGTACAAGTGATAAATTAACCAACAATTTTGGATTATATAGACTGGGTATTTTTAACGGGCAACGAAGTGCACGGGGATCAACTAATAATAATATAATATTAACGAAAATTAATACAAGAAATTCTAATGTAATTATGCATTTTTTTTATAACTATAAATACATAAGTATTATGATTTACAACAAATAAAAGTTTGAAATTTGAAAAATTAATTTTTCTACGATAAGTTTTTTTTTTATATTGTTATTTAATTTTTTTTTTACATTGTACCTACCTATTGCAAAATGTCATTGTTGAGATTAGCAATGGGTGTGCATACTCAGCATGAATAAGCTAACCCAAACAAAACAAAAAGTTAAAATTATTAATGATGTTGTCATTTACAAAATTTGTTTAGTTTATTCTTGTAGATAATAAATTATTTATTTAAATTTAAAACATAAATATTCCAAATTAAAATAAATACAATTTTGGAAGAGGTAATATTAATGTTTTTAGCGTATTACCCTACTTGGAGCCGCTATGAATATATAATATATAATAWTTATCAAAAATCAAACATATCTGAAGGCAAAAAAAAAAATTTGTCTAGGGGCCGCAATTGTGTAAATCCGTCTCTGTATATAGTACACAATTTTTGTATTGGAAATTAATTATGCATGAAATTGTTATTAAAATATACCTATCTACGGTGAAAATAAATTATTTAACGATAAAAGATAACATGATTCGTACATTATAGTATATATATTTTTTGTTATTATATATATATATATATTTATTGTATATATAATATATTATGTACAATGTAGATTGCTTAATTGTAATTATTAAATTAAATTGTCTATTCATTCCGGCAATATTGAAGAAGAAAATTAAATTGCTCGAAATATCTGGGACTAAAGCTTCTTATAATACTATTGATTATATTTAAATTTTAAAATAACGTTAAAAAATATTGTTTCATTTACTTATATTAATTTATGTATTAAAAAACATAAAATTTCCGTAAGTAAATATATATATATAATGTTTATAATATTATACTCCTTATACGTTGTAAGAAATTATCAATAAAGATTTATATCTATATATATCTATCATTTAAAGCAAATTATAGTGAGTGTTTTACCTATTAGATTCTGAGCGAATCGATGAATATACATTGAGGACATATTCAAAAAT